GTGGACCAGCCCGGCCTCCCCCAGGCCCAGCCTGCCCGGCGGCTTGGCAGAGGCCTCCGCAGCCCCCGGCCCGTCCGCTGCCAAGGCAAAGAACGTGGGTCAGCCCCTTGGACCTCTCCTCCTGCCCCCAGGAGGGACTGGTCTCTAGGCAACAGCATCACCCCCCAAACAGGGGGTCCCCTGCTGGAGCTGGTCATGACTACAGGAGTGAGTGGTGGACTCTGCCCCTTCTCCGCCCACCACTGAGCCTCCCCACACTGGGCACCAGGGAGATTGGTCCCATTTTATGGTGGGGAAACTGAGGCACAGAGGCCCTGCTTCCTTTAAAGGGCCTTGCGATGGGGGTGCAGCTGCACCCCACTGGGCCAACCAAGAAGCTGGGGCAGCCCATGGGGCTTGAAGGGCTCCAGAAGGATGAGAGAGGGACCAGACCCGGGAAGGAGGCCGTCGAAGGACCCGGGGGAGCGGGGCTGGGCCTGGCAGGGGGCCAGGGGAGGACCAAGGGAGGACCCGGGTTCGGGGAAGCCGCCAGCATGGGGTACGCGCGAGGAGGGTTTCAGGGATGCTCTGGGCCGGGGGCGATGCACAGACAGTCTTCGGGGGTTCGGGAACTGGCCGTCGGGCGGAGGGGGGGTAGTACAGAGGGAAGTGCATGGCAGCCTTCCGGGCCCCGTGGTGACTGGCTCACACCACTCCAAGGCCCCCCAGCGATGTGGTTGGAATGAACCCAGCCCTCCCCCCTGCTCTAACCACTAGGCCCCATGCCCTTCCCAGGGCTGGCTCCCGGCATGACGGTGCCATCACACGGCCCACGCTCACCTGCGTCCAAGACAAGCCCATTCTGCAGGGGTTCCCGGGCTGCCCCTTGTCCCGTGGTGACTGGCTCACACCACTCCAAGGCCCCCCAGCGATGTGGTTGGAATGAACCCAGCCCTCCCCCCTGCTCTAACCACTAGGCCCCATGCCCTTCCCAGGGCTGGCTCCCGGCATGACGGTGCCATCACACGGCCCACGCTCACCTGCGTCCAAGACAAGCCCATTCTGCAGGGGTTCCCGGGCTGCCCCTTGTGTGGCCCTTTTGGGGGAGCCCGGGGCCCGGGGGAGGGCAGGTTCCGGCTCCCTGCCGCCTGCCCCCCCACCTGGGAAGAGAAGAGGCTGGGCATGCCCTTCCCAGGGCTGGCTCCCGGCATGACGGTGCCATCACACGGCCCACGCTCACCTGCGTCCAAGACAAGCCCATTCTGCAGGGGTTCCCGGGCTGCCCCTTGTGTGGCCCTTTTGGGGGAGCCCGGGGCCCGGGGGAGGGCAGGTTCCGGCTCCCTGCCGCCTGCCCCCCCACCTGGGAAGAGAAGAGGCTGGGTCGGGGGGGGTATTACTTTGGGGTGCCCCTCCCCTGTCACCAGCCTCCTTGGCCCCCAGAGCTGGGCCATTCCCCTCTCCTGCCCATGTGGTCAGCTTCCGGCACGCAGGGCCCAGCTGGGTACTCCCCCCGGCTCCCAGTGCCCCGCCACACCTGCGCAGCAGTGTCGGGCCCCCAAGCGGACACTAAACTGTCCCCTTCCCTGAGCCCCCCCCTCGCGCCTTGCCCCTGCCACACCCCGCCCCAGCCTCAGGATCAACCCCCCACGTCCCCTCCCCTGCTAGGGAAACCAGGGCCAGTTGCCTTCCCAGACAACTCACCTGCCGCAGCAGAGTCAGCCGCTGGGGCCTGAAAGAGAGACACAAGAGCCTCAGGGGGAGGGAGCAACTGCTGGGGGAGGGGGCAGGGGTATGGTGGGAGAGGGAGAATATATTGACCCACATTGGCCCCCATTTTCCAGGGGTCAGTTTCAATGTCCCCTCTAATTTTGACCACCTTTGTGCGGAATACATTTTGTCACGTGCACATGTGCACCACCAGGAGAAACACATGCAGGCGGGCATGGGCTGGGCCCAGGCGCACAGCTTGCAGGGAACACTGGTCAGTTTTGCTTCCTCTGGGCGGCTTTTCTTTTTCGGCCTGAGACAGAAGCGATTGACGCCGAAAGGAAACACAAAGAGAACCCAGGAGTCCGGAAACGGGGGCTCAGCCATAGGACTGGGGGGAGGAATTCAGGCCACTAACGGTAGAGACAAGGCCATCGGGGCAGGGGGAGAGAGAAAACGTGGCCCGCTCAGCAGAGCCGGACTGGCGAGGCTGAAAGCTGCCTGCTTTCTCCACCAAGTGGCCTGACGGCGCTGCCAGCCTCAGAGTAATTTCAAGAGGTGGCAGGGTCTAGTCAGTGGCCAGAATTTTTTCCATGTCGGGGAGCAGCCAGAGTTGTATTTGTACCCGCCAGGTTCACTGAACGGCGCTGGCCAGGAAGCAGAGGGATCAGACCCTGGAGGGATGGGGGCAGGGGACCTGCGCATGCAGCGTGTTCGCGGCCAGGCTGTGCTACCAAGCCAGGAGGTGCCACCTTCCGGATCCCCCAGCTCCCCCATTCCTAGGCTGGTGCTCCCAGCTCCCCCACCTCCCACTCCCGTGGGCCCCACCTGCCCCACTGCGTTACCTCACAGGCGCCCCCTGCTGGCTGCTTCACCTCTTCCAAGCCCGCCCGTGGCCCGCTGTGACGCTCCGGGTTCTCCAGCTGCTGCATCTGGGACTGGAGGCTGCAGAGAGATGGAGAGAAAAGATCCCAGGCTGACCCTTCTCCCCAGGCAGGAGAGCAGAGAAGCTGAGCTCAGCTCGGCCATGTAGAATTTTCCCCGGGCCCCTGGGAGCAAAAACTAACACACAGGCCCAAGCTAGTCAGGACATCTGGGTTCTGCCCCTGGCAAGACGTGTCCCTTTATGGTGCCTCAGTTTCCCTTCCCCATCCTTTCTGTATTGAGACTATGCATCTCTGGGTCAGTGACCATCCCCCACAATGTCTAGGCAGCACTTAACGCAAGGGGACCCTGATTGATTTACACATACTAATAACAATCTAAAGGGAAATCTCCTTTATTTAGGAGCAGTATAGGGGCTAAGACACATAGGCAAATAGTTCTGAATCCACCAGCCAGACTGCGGGGGTGTCTCTCCCCCAGCATGTTCATTTGCACACACATGTCCCAGCCAGTTTATTCCCATGTGCGTGCCTGTTTCATTGGCTTTTCTAACCAGCAGGCAGAAGTGGGTTCGGTGTAAATGGGCATGTTGAAATCGCAGCACTGCCAAGTCCCTTGTGTGTTACGTGTCCAGGCTCAGGGGCCCGGTGGGCGCTGGAGGCTGAGCTTGGGGGCCGGGCGGGCGCTGGAGGCTGAGCTCGGGGGCCGAGCTCGGGGGCTGGGCGGGCGCTGGAGGCTAGGCTCG